ATATATCTATTATATTTAATTATTAATCTAAAAAAATAGGGATAAGAGTAATTATAAACAGATTGCACGTTAGATACACAATATCAATTGAAGTGAGAAACAATATAAAGAGAAGCAGCTGACTGAAGGATGAGAAAGAAGGGACAGCGAATTAAACTAGTCAATTGCTGCTGTAGGAAAACATATAGAAAAGTTTTCTGAACTAATTGTTAACAGACCAAGCTCTTGAGAACAGAATTTTCGTTCTATAAAACGCAGATAAATCCAAATCGACAAAAGTTTTTCATTTTAAAATTCTCCATTTTAAAGTTATTGTTGATGTCCGTGCTTCGTGAGATTCACCGTTTATGCTTCTTACCGTCGCAAAGATATATATGTGTATTATTGTGTATGTATATACAATTTGCTCGAGTGCCCCATGCAAATCGTTTTGTATTACAGTGTTTGCAATGTATTTGATCGGACAATCTTCTGGTGATATTTAATTAAATGACTGAGCTTGTACTTAATTTGTTGCTATTTAATTAAATGAACGAATACGTAGAGAACTGAAATTATATCACATTTTTTCACAGGCGCTACTCATTACATGATTATCGCGTACATTATTAATATCGCGCTGGAAAATGAGAATAAAATGCAGTATTGTAATTATCACAATAAGGTAATCATCAGCCAATATTCCGTATTTAAGATTTTATTTTGTTTATACATATTTTATTGATTTATTATATTTAATAAAACATAATCGGTGCAATCAAGTAAATTGATGACGATAAATCGTGAAAATACATAACTGATAATTAATGCACAGAGAAGTATCATATTTTTTTAGGTAATAACAACGGTATCGCGTTGACGTAAATATCAGTTTTCGTATGATGATTATACTGTAGAAGTTATTATTAGTTTACGATCATATTTCAATCCATTTGATAATTGTAATTATCGCTTGGTCGAATATCGAAACATAAATTATTCCCCGATGTAAAAGATATCCATATACCGTATGTTTATTGTGACCTATAAAGAACAAATGTCGCAAAGTCCCACACTGTTCTCTACAGGACTGTAAAATGTCTCACAAATGAAGTAAACAAGGCTGCGGTGTTTTAAAAAAAAATGAGAGTATGTCCTGCACTCGGATTAACAAGGATGAGTAGTCAACGACTCGACATCGTGTCATATAAACGAAGAAGGATGCGAGTTAACTTGATTAGGAGCTATCCATATGACGTTGTTTAATAATTAACACGGACCGGAATGTCGCGAAATCGTAATCATGTCTCAGGGTAGTCCGTATCTGTCTTCGTTTACGCGCGTGTACTTGTATACGCTTCAATATACGCGGCGTTTCTTTAATGACGTATTATCTCTTGACAAGCATTATTTTCCAATTACGATGATATCTACGATACTAATTATATAATAGATAACATATTATATATTTAATAATTATATATATA